CTCCCCACATTTAGAATATAAACTGGTTGAAAACAATGTAAATTAAAGTGAAGTTTATATTTATTACTAAAGAATATAAATTCAGGTACTAGTGTTGTTCACTGGTTGAGCAGGTGCCTATATGCCTGATGGCTGAAATGCAGTGACCTGGGCTCGAGTCCCCTTCCCTGGCTCTCTCTCTCCCTGTCAAAAAAGGCAAAAAGCCCCCAAATAAATATTTAAAAAGAGTATAAATGCAGTGCACAGGAGTAAAAAATTGGATTGTGAGAGTGTGCTTCAAGGTAAATTAAAGGATTAGAGAGCAAGCAAAGTGAAGGTAATGGTGGGAAGGTGATAAATGAAAACAATCACTATCTAAACGTCAACACTTTGAAAGGGAGGTGTTTTCTTAAGTTGCAGTGCATTTGACCTCTCAGGTCTACTATAGATAGGCCTTAGAGTTTAAGAATTGGTGCCCTGCATTACAGATATGCTGTTGGCTAAACGTACCAGAGAAAGCAAAACAGAAATGACAAAGACGTGTTTATTATATTCAGGGACAAGCAGAACTTGACATAGGCAGACTAAAAAAAAAAACAATTTTTCTCTTATTTTGCATATTCAGTCATAGGGAATGATACTTTCCTGGTTATACGTATGCATATTTTGGAAGATTTTCTTTTTGTTTTGTCACTGTGGTGGTATTGCCTAAATACTCTACAACTTCCAGAAGTGCTTTGCTTTGGTCTTTAAGTTCTGATGAATGCACACATTGGTTAAGCATCACCATGTCAGACACTCCCTTCTGTCTGTCCTCTTCTGCTCATCTAATTTACAGTCGTAGGGGGCTGAAGCCAACCCTGGTTGTCACAGGGTGAAAGGAAGGGTAAGCCATAGACAAATCAAGTCTGTCACCAAGCCAACACATAGAGTTGATGATTTGGTCTTACTCTTATATGTATTTTTGATTAACCTAAAATCATGAATGTCTTTGGAAGCCACACAGCCTAAATCTGAACCCAGGATCTTTTTGTTTTGAGGGGGTGCTAACCACCACCCATGAGCATGCTAGCTTCCCAATAAACTGTGTTTAATACAAAAATCATATAAGAACTTCATTTAAAAACTGAATAAAGGTGTTGTTGGATGAGATGGTAAAGACATTAAACACTTAATTGTACCTGCTAAAATGTTCCACCTTCCTATCTATAAGATCTGAGCTCATCCTGTTTATTTTGTCTTTATCAGGAGAAGGGCCTGTTTAGTGGACTCCTCAAAAAGATGCCTAAAGCATCAGCAGGAAGAACTGATTCACTGGTAAATGACAGTTTGTGGATGTGGAGAAAGTCTGTCAAGTGAAATAAAAATTAAATTTAAAAAACACCATCTTTATACTAATGGACCACTACCTGTTTCAGGACAGAGAAGCTCAGAAAGAGCTGTTGGCCAGCAATGATGACTTGTCTGACAATAACATCACCAAGGTCAGCGATTTAAAAAAACAAACAAACCCCAACTTCTATGGCAAATCTCTTCATCTGCAACTTTTACTGAAACCAGTAACAACCCAGGTCTTATAATCAAACACCAAGCTACAGAGGAGACGTTGGTTTTTATTGTTCTTTGCTTTTAATTCAGGAGTTGGAGGTAAATACTGAGGCT